ATCTACTATACATGTAACACCTAATATGTGGTAGACACTCTAGGTGCTGAGGATAAGATCATGAGAAACAAAGACAAGAAATATGTAAATTCCAAATATAAATTCAACACATTAAACAGATAATTAAAAGTTATTTTGGGTAGTGCTAACTGTTATATGCAAAAGGTTACTTACTATGTTAGAGGGACCATAGCAGGCTGAGAGGCCACTTTGTATATGATTATTAAAAATAATCTCTACAAAAATGTTTTTTAACTGAGATTATGAATGTTGGAAGTCAATCATTTGAACACATATCTTAAGTCTTCTCCAATAAAATGGAACTGTAAACAGAGTATAATCCAAGAACAAACAAAAATACAAGAAATAGTGGACATTCCAACTATGCTACTATTGATATTCACACTACAGTCCTGAAGCATAGTCAGAAATGGAATTTTGACTGCTTTGTCTAGAAGACTTTCATATCCCTCTCTCTTTTTCTTGGCAAACTCGCTTCAATCCTGTCTTCTAGGTCTGAAATTCTATCTTCACTTTCATTGAGGCGGTTTTTACAGCTTTCAGTGGAGTTTTTTATTTCCTGTATATCTCTGTGCATCTGCTTTATGTATCCTGTTTGTTTCTTATATTGCTCATCAAGAGATTCTTTTTGTTTAGTTCCTCCAACTTTTTAACTGTGTTTTCTTTAGATATATTCAGAATCTCTTTCATTTCTTTTATCATTTCTTCTTTTACCTGGGAGATTATTTCGAGTTTGAATTCCTTTGAAGCTTCCTGGTGTTCCTTGTTTATTTCAGTAGCTATCATGTCTGATATTTGAGGTGTATGGCATATATTTTCTTCTATTTACATCACTCCCTAAGATGAAACAAGGCGTGTATAGTGGCTGTATGATATTAACTCATTAACAGTTGTAGGGACTGGGAATATAATTCAGCAGCTTAATCAACTGCCTGGCAAGCACAAGATCCTGAGTTCAAGTCCTCATTAATAATAATAATATAATTATATATATATATATATATATATATATATATATGTATCTTCCTGCCCTGTGACGTCATTTTTACCAATTCTCTAGAATACTGAGCGAATTTAGTACAATTCTGGAAATATATTTTTTAATTGAGTGTATAAGAAAGAAAGGTATTTAGTACATAAACAAAATGTGGCTAAAATGATGTACAATGGACTCTTAGCTGGTTAGAGAAGGAGGAAAAGAGAGTATGAGAGTAGCGTCTCAGTGGAAAAAATTTCTGATGAGGTATCAATATGCATGACACATTTTTTGAGGGTACATTGCATGCCAGGTATTTTCATTGGACAGAGTGTAGGAAGACGAAAATGATAAGTTTTAGCCTTCAAAGAGCACATAAAATAGTTGTTGGATAAATAAACATAAATAAATGTGATCATTTTTAGCATTAGCATAAAGAAAGCAGCCACTGTGTAAGTCTCTTCTGAGCTTCTAAAGTGCAGTGCTACAGAAAACAAAGACAATATCAACACACAAGCACACAGACACACACAGAATCTCATATCAGAATGCTAAGTTCAGTTTTTACTTTTTTTATTCAAAGATGCTTGGTCTTTTGCCTAAAATAATCAAGGCTAGCATGGCCAATTCAGTTAGACCTGAAATCAAATGTAGTATCAAACCTGCTTTAATGTGATCTTCAGGGTTGAATGTATGACATTATTTCCTGTGGAGATTTTAAGCAGAATGTATTGTTATCCGGGGACAAATTGTCAAAGAGGAGTGTGGACAGTTTCCACTCAGCTCCATCTAGCACATATCGCATCTATGCCAAATCTTATTTTTGTAAAATAACATAACTCTTGAGTGTGACAATGTGAAAGAAAACCTTCACTACTGAAATTACTTCAAAGAGACAAAGAGTCAGGGAAGGGAAAGGCAGACAAAGTGTAAAACATAAACATATACATTTAATACTTTTTATACCAAGAATCAAACTCAGGGCCTCGTGCTTACTAGGCAGGCGTTGTGCCACTGAGCCATATTCCCAGAACCCATAAATTTAGTGATGTAAGTAACAGGCAAGATTGGAAATTTCAAAAAACTACTTTTTATTTAGTCTTTCAATGATCTGAAAGAAGGACAATATGCATAATTCTGAGAACAATGGAATCACTTTAGAGTTTCAAGGTGCAAAGTGATACAATTTTTTTTTTAACTGTAAAATTCTCACTCTAAGAATAAGTTGGATGAGATTAGGTAGAAAGTTCTTCAAAAACCATTTTGAAAGATTTTCAGAAACATAATGGATTGGGGACTAATCAAGCTCAATGTTATGCACTGAGAATGTGATGCATATAGCTACTAGAATGACACACAAGCACCACAAACTCAAATACTCAGTTCAACTATTGAGCTTATTATGTTGATGAGTCTTGAAAGAGAAATAAAATTCTACCCACAGGGTTCAGGCTTGGCATTCATGTTTTTTTTTTTTTTTTAAGGTATCATTTACCAGAAAGGAAGATATAAGAGAAAGAGAACATTTGTGGAATAGGAGGGACCAACTGTGATTGAATGCAGGGGCAGTCCACTACTAATCTAACTTCCAGCCCTTTACATTTTTTAAATTTTGAGGCAGGGTTTAACTGAATTGGTCATGCTAGCCTTGAACTTGCAATCCTCCTGCTTCAGCCTCTCAGACTGCTGGAATTACAGGTATGCACCACCATATCTAGTTAAAAAGAAAAAAATTTACAAGAAAGGAAGTGACTTTTTAGATCTATTAGGAAGAAATTCATTTTGAGACATTTATAAGCCAGTTGTGTTAGTAGATTCCCAGGAAATATGTGTTTGAAGAGTTCAAAATTCAAAATCATCCAGAACTTGGTTTAGATACTGCATCTATTAATTACCTTTCTGTAATTTTGTAGGTCTCTGTCTCTTCATCTTTAAACTAATTTAACATTACTCCTATGTCGGTGTCGCTCCCGGCCTGCAGGAAGAACACGCGACAGATTCTGACGGTGTGCAATCTTGCCTTTATTTGTCTCCGCGTGGGCCCCGCGAGGCCTCTGCTCTGCCACCAGCCCTTTCTCGCCAGTGGACTTTCTCTATCTCACTCTTAGCAGCGTGGGTCACACACATATATACGGACTCATTGTCCAATAGGGCAACAGCAGGCATGTGAGCTGATTGGTCATCGTCATTAGTTGCTGGGTAGACGTCTATTGCGCGGGCTGTTTACGTCACCAGGGCAATCAGGGGGCAAGAAGCAGGCGCCAACTTGGCTCACTCGATGGGAGGGGTAATTTAGCTCAGGCCTTGCTCCTTTCTACAGGCCTCACGTCCGCCAAGTAAAGCGACCGGTGTCGGCCGCGGCTCCCAACATCTCCCCCTATTTTATTTATTTTGAATGAATGTATGCATCGCAGCCCGCCCTGGATCGAGTGCAGAGGCTTATGCCCTGTGTTGAGGCCCACCGTAAGCCCTTGGCTTGGACCCTGGTCGGCCGTCCCCGGGTCCACCAAGGCCTTGAGACCCTCGTTCTTTTTCCAGGGCCAAGAGTGAACTGGACGGAACCTGGATGCACATAGGCATGCACTCATGCCCCTCCGTGCGATCCCCTCGGAGAGACATCTAGATCTGGGCAGATTCTAGTAATCCAGCGGCTTTCGTGCAGTATGGGGTAGGGCCTGGCTTAGGTCGAGTCGTGCTGGGGAGGCACGCTCTTACCCGTCATTGACTCACCTACCCTGCTGTGTGGTGTCAATAGGGAAGGAGTGCGGAAGACCCGCCACATCTAGACTCGGTCGTAGGCCAACCGTGCGAGCCATGCGTAGGCCTGGGGGTCATTGTGCCCATCACGGGCTGCTGCCAGGGCCGCATGGGCAACCAGGCGTACTTGACGCCGGGCCGCCGCAAGGCGCCCATTAATAAATGATGTAACCCATCAGAGCAAGAATGGTCCTACAAGTAAGAGCAGAAGCAAGGAGCACAGGGGACCTAACAATGGTAAAAATAGGGGAGCAAGCCATTCCAGGCTCCCCAAAAGGGATTGTCTTGTAGTTCTTTTCTTCTCTTTTCTAGGTCTTCTTGCAGATTCTTTAATCGGTCTCGAACGATTCCGGACTTGTTGGCATAAAAGCAGCATCTTTCCTGTAAGGCAATACAGATACCTCCCCTCTCTACAGTGAGTAGATCTAGGCCCCTTCTATTCTGCAGAACAACCTCTGCAAGGGAATCAATTTGATCTTGTATCTCCTGAAGGGTTCTCTCAACTATAGACATGTCTTCTATCAATTGCTTGGATAACTGAGTATATTTGGTTAATGAAACTCCTAGGCCCGCAGTCCTGGCGGCCAGGGCTCCAGTTATCCCCAGACCAGCCAAGAGAGGTAAAATCAGTACATCTCTCTTATGTCTTTTTATAAAAGTGTCCACAGCTGGGATGGGCATGGGTTGGTCCCCAGGGACAATACCAATGTCAGGCAACAAGTAGGCTAGGCCACATAGGCCGGTCCAATTACTGGGCAGGTAAGTATAAGCATGACCATTGCCACAAGCAAATACTTTGCCAAAGGGGGCACATAGCGGCGAGCTACTACTTACATTGGTTATGGACTCACACGAGGCGACTGCCAGCGCTCCAACAACAATATCATAGCTATTATTTTGTGGGTACTTTTGGAAACAGGATGCATTAAACTGTCCCATAAACTGGACCCGAAATGGAGGCCCATGTGAGCAATTATAGGGTGCGTTGTAATTGTAAGGTTCACTTTCATTGTCTCTAAACGGCATGGCCAACGGCCATGATTCTCCCATCATCATACACAGCCAACAATCGGAGGCCAGCCCTGGGTCAGTAAGATTGAGTGCTTTGTGGGTAGCCTCTAATATGGATTCAGTAGCAGGGTCAAGGTTAATGCCTCGGGATTTTGGGCGTAGGAGTGGATGGTAATTGACTTCAGGGAACGGATTTAATTGTTCCCATCGCTCGATGACCTGTTCCTGCCGGTACTGGTCTTGGACCCCTCCACCATCAGAGATGTGAACGGCAGCGGTCATAGACCAACAGACCATTTCTCCAACCTCTCCATTACAACCTGACTGCATGAATGGAGAACCGCCTACAGCAGTGGGAATATGGTTAGGGGCAACAGGGCTTTTAGTTGTAGTTAGCGTTGCCATCCAATAGGTTGTACTCTTGAGTTTGCATTGTTTTGTCTCTGTATAGCATGTAACATGCATGGATTCCTCAAACTTAGTGCAGGGACATGTGGCGAGATCACCAGGCCCTGAGGGACTCACCTTAGGCTTAAGTATGCACTGATAGAATGGTTGACTAAATCCTCCTGCAGTGGAGCTGTACACAACTGAGTAAGCTGTTTTATCCCCACAATCGGTCCCTGGTCCTTTTTTGGCACTAGGTGGTATACTGCTTACCGTGCCACCTCCGCAATCGCACAGACTGCCAAGAAGGCTCGTGCGAAGATCTATTCCAGAAGCGGGGCCCCCCAGCCCCGCATGTACCATACTTATCCTGAGGAGTGCTAGGACAACGCCCCCAATGAAAAAAGCAGCCTTTTTCAGGTTCATCTGGCTGTCAGGCCTGCTGCTGGTCTCCGGCAGGATAGGATTAGTCTTCAGTCGAAGGGCTTGTCGCACGCGTCAGTCTTTCTGGGACCCACAATGGTTCTCGTCCCGGTTCCTGCGGGAAAACACAAACCGCACCTCGGTTCCAGCTGACTACCGGATCCGGGCCCATCCATTGTCCCGTCAGGACATCTTTCCATTTTACCCATCCCTTATTGCTAGGAGATGGATTACAATGCTCCATAGCCGGGGGGTGGTTGTTATTGTTCAGGTTTAAAAAATTGTATGTGAATAGTGCCATGGATAGCCGTGCCTTTGGGGGCAGGCCCTGGCCTACTCCCCCTTTTTGTTTATATAAGATTTCTTTGAGGCTTTTGTGAGCTCTTTCAATAATTCCTTGGCCTTGAGGATTATATGGGATCCCATGTTTTAAGTGTACTTCCATAGTCTTACAGAACTCATTGAAGGCTTTTCCTGTATAGGCTGGTACGTTGTCTGTCTTTAATATTTTGGGCTTGCCCCACGCGGCCCAAGCCGCTAAGCAGTGATTGATCACATTAGATACCTTTTCACCTGTCTCTGCAGTTGCGAATATAATATGAGAACAGGTGTCCGTGGAGACATGGACATACTTAAGAGATCCAAATTCTGTTATGTGTGTGACATCCATTTGCCAAATATCGCCAGGGATCAACCCTCTGGGGTTAACCCCCATTGATATGGCAGGCGTGTGTGTGGCGCATGAGCCGCACAGTCGCACGATGTCCCGCGCGTCAGCCCTGGAGATGCGGTACTGGTTGGCTAGCGTCCTGGCATTGACATGGAATTTGTCATGGAACTGACAGGCTTGCTCTATTGGAGATAACATATTGAAAATCCATAACGGGCGAGTGGCCGCGTCAGCAGCCGCATTGCCCTGTACCATGGGCCCTGGTAGGTGTGTATGTGCTCTTATGTGAGTGATGTATATTTTGTCGTGTCTATTTATGAGCAATGTCTGGATAGACAAAAACAAGTTAGTTACTTTGGAGGTTGGTTTAATTGGGCCTGCAGTCTCAAGGACCTGCATGGCATTGACAACATATTTTGAATCAGAAACAATATTAAGGGCCCCTGGGAACTTCTCGAGGACGGTTTGTACAATTTGTAACTCCACCACCTGTGGTTGATCTGGTTCAAACTGTATGTTAACTGGAGGCATGCCCAAGACCACATAGGCCCCTATCCCGGTTTTTGACCCATCTGTATAGACTCTTGTTGCAGGAGTAAGGGGTGCAGGGGTGGTGATTTTTGGAAATATCACCGGATGTTGAGTAATAAACTGTAGTATAGGGTCCTTAGGGAACTGATTGTCTAACTCCCCAAGAAATACACATCTCAGGATGGCCCAAGTATCTATGCAAGCAGTCAGAATTTTTATTTGAGAAGCGGTATAAGGCACCCGAATAGCGTGAGGTGTGGAGCCAAAATGTTGGATGGCTCTACTATGTGCCTCCAGAGCCAGAGAAGCAACTGCTTCCGGGTAATGTTCAATAATCTTGGCAGGTGAAACCTTAGGGTGCACCCACAGAAGTGGTCCTTTCTGCCAAATCACTGCCGTGGGCTGGGAACTGGTCTGCAACAAGCAGACCTCAAAAGGCTGTTATGGGTCAATTCTCTGTAATGTAGCTTTGCTTAGGGCCTCTTCTATCTTTTTTAGAGCAACTCTGGCCTCTGGGGTGAACTCTCTAGGGGAGGCAATATCCGGATCCCCTCTTAGGAGATCAAACAGGGGCTTTAAGTCCGAATTAGGGATGTGCAAGTAAGGTCTGATCCAATTTATATCTCCCAGTAACTTTTGCATGTCATTTAGGGTTGTAAGATTATCTGTTCTGATGGTTACCTTCTGTGTAGAAATCGATGTAGGGGAGACTTTGGTACCCAAGTAAGTCACTATGTCTCCTCCTTGAATCTTGTCAGGGGCAATATGTAGATTAGCCTTTCTCAGGGCCTCAACCAACTGGCCGAGCATATTATTCAGCATGTCTGGGTCCCTGCCGCTGAGCAAAAGGTCGTCCATGTAATGCACACATCTTATCTTGGGAAAGGATTTCCGTAGGGGGGCCAGTAGGGAATCAAGGTAAATCTGACACATAGTGGGACTGTTGGCCATACCTTGGGGCAGCGTTATCCACTCGTATCTGAGATCAGGGCTTTCTTGGTTAATGGTGGGTAAGGTAAAGGCGAACCTATGGGTGTCCTCTGGATGCAGGGGGATTGAGAAGAAACAGTCTCTAAGATCTATAACATAAATCGGCCAAGACTGAGGGATGGCTGAGAGAGCTGGCAGCCCCCTCTGGACCGCCCCCAGGGGCTGCATCTGCTCATTGACCGCCCTTAAATCATGGAGCAGCCTCCACTTGCCTGATTTCTTTCTAATAACAAAAACAGGGATATTCCAAGGGGAGGTTGATGGCTTTATGTGCCCTGCCTGAAGCTGGGTTTTGACTATCTCAGTTAACGCTAAAAGCTTCTCCTTGGGTAGGGGCCACTGAGGTACCCAAACTGGACTCAGGGACTTCCAAGTGATCTTAATTGGAGTAGGTAGGAGAACTTCCTCAGCGGCCCCTAGGAAAAACCCAGCCCGTGTCTACCTTCCCTTTTCTCTACAGGTACGGGAGATGTCCGGCCCTGCAGGGCAGAGCCCAGGCCCCTGCCGGGAACATATCCCTGATTTTTAAGTATACCCTTGGCTTGAGGAGAGCAGGTGGATGTAAGAGTGACATCCATCTGAGTGAGGATGTCTCTTCCCCACAAAGATACCGGTAGCTGTAGAACAAAAGGTTGAAAATGTCCTTGGTGACCCTCCTCATCACACCAAGGCAGGGTCACGGCACTAACCTGGGGGGCAGCCACCATCCCCAACCCTTGGAGTGTGTTGTCAGCTGTATTGGTGGGCCAGCTAGAAGGCCAGTCCCTCTTGGAGACAATGGAGCGGTCTGCCCCTGTATCCAGGAGTCCTGTTATATTTCTACCATTAACCCTGAGCAAGAGCATGGGTCTTTTATCAAGAGTCATATGAAGTCCTTCAAAAATTTCTCCAGAGGAGCCAAAACCCTGATCCCCTCTAACCCGTTGTCTAGACTGGAATCTCTCATGGAGACTGGGGAGCAATAAAAGTTGTGCTATCTTATCCCCCTCATTAATCACCATGGTCCCTACATGAGATTGGACCATAATCTTAATGTTTCCTGTGTAGTCTGAGTCTATAACCCCAGGGAGCACAGTAAGGCCCCGGAGGGCTGTGGAGGACCGTCCAATCACTAAACCAACTGACTTTTCAGGTAGCGGTCCCTTGAAGGTGGTCCCGACCACCTGAACGCCCATATCGGGCATTAATAGGAGTCTGGAGGCGACACAGAGGTCCACGCCTGCTGACCCAGGGGTAGCCCTTGTGGAGGGCTGCCACTTTGTGTTGTCCTGTCTAGGGGGCGGGGGCCCGTCCGTAAGGAGGGCCCCCTCTGGCCGTTTTTTGGCTCCTGAATTCCCCTGCCACTAATGCGGTTTCCCTGGGCATCAAAAACTGATCTGCAATCTTTCGCTTTGTGTGTTCCCTTCCTGCATCGTTCGCACACGCCTATTGGCCCTTCCCGTGTATTAACACTGTGCGGACAGTCTCTCCTAATATGCCCTGGTTCCCCGCAGCCAAAACATCCTTTGGGCTTACGATCTCGCTTAGGTCCGGAAGCACCCTTAGCTTGTGCTGTCGCGGCTACAAAGGCCGCCGCAAGCTTTGCTGCAGTCATCTGCCCTCCAATCTCCCTACAAATCCTAATCCAAGCATTGAGATCCTTGTTTTTATGCGGGGCAAGAGCCGCTTTGCACTCCGTTGTGCATTGTTCAAAAATGAGTTGTTTGATCAGGGGCTTCGCCACTTCTTGGTCTGAAAAAACTTTATCAGCCGCGTCCTGCATCCTAGCCACGAAATCAACAAATGGCTCTGTGGCACCCTGTACTATCTTTGAAAGGCATAATGAGGCCACCCCCGCACCGTTCACCTGTTTCCATGCACAGAGCCCAATATTAGAGATTTGGTCATACACCTCATTGGGGAACTGAGTTTGGTCATCCCTATATTGACCTGAGCCCTGGAGCATATCTTCGTTCCACCTTGCATGCCCCCTGTTAACATTCTTTTCTGCTTGCTCAATGGCAAACTCGGCATACCAGGCTTGCCAATCAAGATAACTACCCGAAGGAAGGCACGCCTTGGCCAGCTGCATCCAGTCACCCGGTGTAAGAGGCTGAGAGGCAAGATTCTCTAGCATAGCTATGGTATAAGGAGCTGTGGGCCCGAAGGTCGTGACAGCGCTTTTTAATTCTCTGATCTGTTTTATTTCAAATGGTTCCCAAACATTGCGCCCTTTGCCTGGGGCCATTTGCACAGGGTATACTCCATAAGGACCGTAATCTAGTCCTTGCATCGGTGGATCCCCTCCGAACCATCGTTCACCCTTCCATAACCGCCCATGAAAATACCGTCCGCCCCGTGGCGCGACGTCATAGGACGGCGGTCGCGACAGAGTGGAACGGGGCATCACTTCCTGTGCCGGCTGAGAGAAGGGAGGGTCCCCTGTAGCGGCTTCTCGGCGGGGAACCGCTTCTGGAAAAGAGCTCCAGGGCGGAGCGGATGGCTCTCTATCTCCTCCCCGCCAGAGAGCGCTCTGGGGCCCTTTCTCCTCTCTCTGCTTTTCCCGGGCGGCGCACGCACACAATTCGCAGCGCAACTCGGCATAGGGGTTTTGGGCCTCTCTGCTTCCTGCCCCACCTTCTGGTTCCTCCTCGCTATCTGAGTCGGAGGACTCCAGAGCTTGGGTGTCCTCTATCTTTTCCTGGATCTTTTCCCCCTGTACAGATCCCTCCCGAGAGCATTCCGACTTTGCCTGCTCAAAAGCCTTGCGTGCGTCCATGATTTCTGCGTCTCTAACTGCCGACGGGAACCCCTTCCCCTCCCCTTCAAGGCACGCATGTATCATTTCCCACAGGGGGCGAATAGCCGGCGAAATATCGCCTTCCAATTCCGCCGAGGCGAGGTCCCCGCCTAACTTCTCCCATGACGGCAGGTTTAAATGCCCCGTGGGTAAAAACCAGGGAGCCACCCTATCTACCTCTGCTATGAATAGTTCCAGTGTTTTGTGACCTACCCTGAGGTCTCTAGCTTTTAAAAGCTTTCTAAGGGCCTTTACCAAGGGCCGCGCCTCCGCGCTCGGTAAATTACCCATCTCTAACCTCTAAAGGCTGTAACTCACCGCGTGTGACTTAGAGAACCCGTCACCTACGCGTGAGCCTGAGGGGAGTCTAAAAGCCCTGTAGGTGCGCGCCACCCAGAGCCCAGGCTTATCCCACACTCACCTGTCCGGCAGCACCACGCTGGAGCGTTGCACACCACCGCCGCATCTTGGGGTTGATCACTCCCCGTACGGGCCACCAGATGTCGGTGTCGCTCCCGGCCTGCAGGAAGAACACGCAACAGATTCTGACGGTGTGCAATCTTGCCTTTATTTGTCTCCGCGTGGGCCCCGCGAGGCCTCTGCTCTGCCACCAGCCCTTTCTCGCCGGTGGACTTTCTCTATCTCACTCTTAGCAGCGTGGGTCACACACATATATACGGACTCATTGTCCAATAGGGCAACAGCAGGCATGTGAGCTGATTGGTCATCGTCATTAGTTGCTGGGTAGACGTCTATTGCGCGGGCTGTTTTCGTCACCAGGGCAATCAGGGGGCAAGAAGCAGGCGCCAACTTGGCTCACTCGATGGGAGGGGTAATTTAGCTCAGGCCCTGCTCCTTTCTACAGGCCTCACGTCTGCCAAGTAAAGCGACCGTTGTCGGCCGTGGCTCCCAACACTCCTACAAAATGGTTTTAGTTAGTTGTATTAATGTTCCTACAACACCATCTAAGGGTTGTAAAAAATAAATTATATTTTCTCTATAGTATGCAATTGAAAAAATAGTTCCAAAAGTAGCTCATCAAACAGAATAGTTTGTGATGTCATTGTTTGCTTGTCTGTTCACTTTTTTACAATGTCAGTTTGTAACTTGAACAACTACTTCTAAGATAACAATATGTAATTTATCAACTAGTGTTTCCTTACTGTTTTTTTTTTTAATTCTGTATTATTTCTACCCTTTTTCCTGTTTTGCTTTTTCTCTAAATAAAAAAACAGTAACTCCATGAAATTTGAGGTGAGAAAAGAAAAACAGTACAGCAAGTAAAAGGCGTAGAGGAGAAGATATCAATGCCTGGAACCTAGACTGAAGAAACAAGAAGCTCCTCGTCTGATAATTTTAGTAAAGAGAATTGATAGCCACTTGACAAGGTAAGGCAGGGGTGATGCTTTTAATTCAAAGTTGTAAAAATAATAATGATAATAAGGATGAGTTGCACATCAGAAAGTATCATCTATCCTTAAAATATCCTCAAATTTAGCAAGAGTTAGTCCTTTTAACCTTAGCATTGGTGCTCTTCGGAATTCATCATCACCTTTTCACATAAAGGATAAACCTAAAGAAAATACTTGATTTTCCACAAACATATTAAATTTTCTTTCCACTCTTTCTCTCTGGCCTATATTTCATGCATGGTCAGAATGTTTGTATTTCATGTATACAGAATTTTGAGATTTATCATTGCATCTTCATATATAATATAAAATTTCATGCAATTGATTTCATCTCAGTTTCTCCCTTAGGGTCTACTCATTGTGCCTTCCTCAAAAAGAAGCGAAGAATAAATTTTTCTTGGATCTGCTTGCTCTTCACACCATAAACAATAGGATTCAGAGCAGGAGGGATGGCTACATAGAAGTTGGCAAACAGGATGAGCACATTGTGAGGGACTCCATGCCCAAAGCGATGAGCGAGGATGGAGAAGAAGGCGGGTGTGTAAAACATGAGGATAATACAGACGTGGGAGCCACAGGTGCTCAGGGCCTTTTGCCGGGCACCCTGGGATGGGAGCTGAAAGACAGCATGGAGGAGGAAGATATAGGAAACAGCAATGAAGATGACATCTGAGGTGACAGTCATGAGCAGTACGGAAAATCCATACCAAATGTTGATGGAAATGTCAGCAGAGGAAAGTCGAGCAACACCTATGTGCTCACAGTATGTGTGTGGGATGATGCGTGTGCTGCAAAATGGTAACCGTTTTAGCAGGAAAACAGCTGGTAGGATGACCCCGAAGCTCCTTGTGACAATGCTCACCATCAGCTTGATGGTCACCTGTGGAGTCAGGATGCTGCTGTATCTCAGGGGGAAGCAGATGGCCACATAGCGATCAAACGCCATTGCCAGCAGGATAGCTGAGTCCATGACAAAGCTGAAATGCAGGAAAAACATCTGAGTCAGGCAGCCAGAGAAGGTTATTTCTTGGGAGCCAAACCAGAGGATACTGAGTAATTTGGGCACCGTGGTAGTGGACAAGATGAGGTCTGTGCTGGCCAGCATAGAGAGAAAGAAAAACATGGTCTCCTGGAGGCTCTGCTCAACTGCAATGAGGTGGAGGAGGATGCAATTGCCCACAGCTGCCACGATATAGATGACACAGAACGGAATCCCAATCCAGATGTGCAACTTTTCCAGACCAGGTATTCCAACAAGGACGAAGGAACTGGGGTTGTAACAGCTCAAGTTATACATGGTCTGTGCAGTGTGGAATCCACTGGTTCTTGATCACTGCAGAAAAATCAATTGTCACGATGAGCAACTAAAGCTATATTTTCCGCCCCACTGCTGGAAACTGTTGGAGCCGCAGTTGCCCCATATAAGGTTTTTGCATCAGTTCCTTCTGGCCCTTTATTGACCTTTTCTACCTATGGAACTGACTCCTTCCATTTCCCATTGGCACCACTTGATTTCTTTATGCATTTACTAATAAACCATATAAAATCTTTATTTTTATAGGTCAGAAATCTCATATGATTAAATGTAAATAACATACTGGATACATGCAGATTATTGAGAACAAACACAAGTATAATAGGAGAAAAAAACAATACGGAAGGAGAGTGGGGAGAAACAGGAGAGGAAAAGAGAATAATAAACATGCTGAAATTATACTGGATGCAGTAAAGAGACTAAGACTTTTAAACGGTACATATTATGTTTCAGACAATGAATTTGATAACATAAAGAGTATGTAGGAAATTTAAAACGGAGAAAGAAACAGAAAGGGCAGATTCTAGTACTGGAGGTGGTATGGGAAGCTTTGTTTCATAGTGGAAGAAAAATGGTTCAAATTAGGACATATGCTTGTAGGAGTGTGAACGTAAGAGGACTATATTAGAAAACACAGGGTGACAAGTGAACCACAGTATTCAGATCTAAGCAGAGGACAGTGAGATCAGAGGGATATACAGACTTCAGAAGCAACATTCTAAACCCTGATGATCCCAGCTTCCTATTGTTAGTGGGAGAGACAACCTATCAGTGAGTCTAACAGGGCCTACCCCAGAGAAAAGAATACATGTTTTCTCCTAAGCAAAGATGAACAGAGATAAAACAGTTTTTTGTCCCCAAAGGTTTCCTCTTTGGCCTGCCAGTGCTTTGATCCTATGTGACAAATCCAAAGATTGTATTAAACAGAGTCTGCCTTTAAAGGGGCTTTTGCATTGAAATGCATTTTGAGGGCCTGGGGGTTTAGTTCAGCAGCATAAGCGCCTGCTTTGCAAGTGTGCGGTCATGAGTTCAATCCCCAGTACCTATAAAAAAAAAGAAAATGCATTTTGAATATTAACTCCAGTTTG